GGCCAGGACAAACATATAAATGATACGACAAATCGAAAGCTTTGAATGATTTATATGTCCAAAGGTTAGAACAATTATCGCATGAGTATGATAACAGAGATCTGCTACGCTACTACAACCACCATCGAAAAAGTACAGGTATTTATAAACACTTGTCTACGCAAGATATTTTATATCCATTGACCAGATACCATCATCAGGAATTTACTGTATCAGAGAATAAACGAGCTTTAAGCTATAGGGGAAATGACGAAAAGTTGCTGGAGGTAGATAGGACACAGACTGCGAAAATCAAACTGCACCACGATACAAACCCTTATATGGAATCCAAAAGAAGAGGGGGACGAAAGAACACATTGCTCCGAGACTTGGAGGCAGACATCAAAAACATGAATAGGACTTAACAGCAACTGGAATGGAGGGCTCAGGACAGAATCATCAAAGAATTGTTCGTGGCAACTATGGTCGATGCGGAGTAACATGCAGAGGTAATAAGAGGGTGAAAATTCATCTTTAAGGGCTATTTTTTTCTATTTTGACAGTTTATCCTCTATCTTCACAGTGATTCGTTTATTGAAAAACCCTAGTAATATGCATTGTGGTATTGCAGATCATCTTTGTTTCTGTAGTTGTTATTCCCATAACTGGTAACTTTCTGAGATAGTTGTTTCAAATCTCATTGTTTTGTCTTTATCACTTATTATGTTTCCTGAATTATGTTAAAGCAAAATGCGATGAAACTGTGCAGCTCTCATAAGTTTTGTTTTTGAAAAGTGAATTCTGATAATGTCCATTCCATTGATGATGCAGAGATAATAAATATTGTAGTTGAAACTGGATAGTCTCCTTTTTGTTAATCACTATTTGGTGGTAAGTTAATCATACCGTATCTTTTAGGGATTTCTAACAAAACGTTAGTTCTTTTCAGTGTGTTTTCAAATGCCCTGCTTTTGCACCATTCCATTTAATAGTTTCCTTTTTTTCCAGGGCCGTTTAGAATTCCGTGGTGTCAGTTTTCGCGTTGATCGTGTCCTTATCAATGTAACGGAACATGACTGTCGTAATCGTGTATGGAAACCTACGTATCTCCAGGATCGGAATAATTCATATGTCTCACCTACTGCCCTACCCCGTGAAACATTTTCGGATCATCTGTCCCTCCATCAGCCAAGTAATACGGATCACTTGAGTTTTAGTGGGGCATATACTGATGAAAATCCTTTTTGTGCACCCAATATTGATGTCACTAATTATCTTAATCTACATTCATACAACAAACATGATGACTTCTGCTTGGCTTATATTTTCACATACAGAGACTTTTCAGGTGGGACTATTGGTTTGGCATGGGTTGCTGAAGTGGATGGAGCAGGTGGTGTCTGTGAAAAACATAGGCGAATGCAGGAAGGAGATCAAAATGTTTACAAAAGTTTAAATACTGGAGTTGTAACTCTATTGAATTATGGGTCAAAGGTAATCTATCATTAATTTAAACTATCATTTGAAATGACTTCTACACAGTTAAAACATTTCATTATTGCTTTTCTGACTTTTAATTTTAGGTAGCCACAAAGGTATCGCAGCTAACATTTGCTCATGAATTAGGACATAATTTTGGTGCTAAACATGATAATTTTCATGAAAATGAATCACATGGATGTTTGCCGTCTATTGATGATGTCCGGGGTAATTATATTATGTTTGCTAGTGCGATAAGTGGTGATAAAGAAAATAACAACAAATTTTCCAATTGTTCACTTGATTCTATTGCCAAACTATTGGATCGTGTTTTACGGGTGCGTGTTATCGAAATCCTCTTAATATTTTTTGTGTGCGTATTACTGTAAAATATTGTTACTTAGTGACAATATGTACCTATCTTAAATCCTTGAAAAATCTATAGAGCTAAAAGTGTTGGGGGCGGTTGGGCATACGTAATATATGTCCCAATTGCCTTAGTCGATGAAGATTCACAGCTCCATGAACCAGTTTGCCCAATCTCCAACATTGCTTAGTTATTTTGTGATGTTCGAGCAATGCTTCAAATATGCCTATGATAAAAACCTGTCGCCTTGTATGTTTCCAATTTTCCTAAAGCATGTTTCACAGCTATAAAGTAATATGGAGCGTACATTAGTTGCAAACGGATATCTTGTGTACACCACAGGTAGGAAAAGTTGCCAAAAAACCAACTGAACCTTCTGAATTAGAGACATCAATCAGACAAATCTGATGAATCATTGAAAATGTACATTTTTGTTACCTGGTTCCATCTGTAATCAGTTTACGTAGTTTTTCCCGTTAAGAAAATATTATGCATTTTAATTCGCATAGCTATATGAATTTTGTTTACTCAGGTAGGGGAGATACTGTTATCAGGCTTTTAGTAAACCTTTTTGACTTTTTACTTAAATGTATAGTTCATTGTAATCATGATAAGTTTTCGGAAATTTTAGTGGTTGGAGTTTTCATTGATTGTTACTGTCTCACTGTTTGAATGAAACATAAATACGTCATAAATAAGCTTAATTTTAACTGTTAGCATAGTTCATATGTTCGAAAAATTCACAGGAAACCACTCACCTTTAGTTTTGGTCGGCACAGGTGAATTGGCTGTGATAACAAAAGATCACAACAAATTCGACGTTTAATCTTTTAGTCATATAGATTTTGATATTTATAGGTTAGTAACTGGACAATATACTTCTATGGCTGTTATGACTGAATAAAACTGATACGGTTCGACACAATGAAGTAGGTATAACTACAGATGAAAACTCTATTATGCACCAAAAACAGATCCACTACAGAACTTATTATTGACCAAAGCTATATCAAAATACTGAGTTACATCATTTACTTATCTTATTGGTGATCGATTTTATTCAATAATTTAAGGCATAGATACGATCTGAAACATCTGTAGATTAAACTGTTTCAAGTAAAAAATACAACTAAGTTACTGAGTTATGTATTTTTTTCTTCTAAATAAGTATTTAGTATATTCCTATTTTGTTCTTCGTTCATTAGGTGATGCAAACTCCAACAAATAATTAGTATTAAGAACAGATTTCAAAGGTGATCAGCAATTAAAATAACAACATTAACAATATTGTATTATTTAGATTACTCAGTATTAATTGAGTAAACAGCATAATTTGTAATTAACTCACTATTAAGTTCTGTATGTGATGATGTTTTTACTTTTTCAGGGTGAAAAAAATTGTTTTTTAACTTCAGATGGCCCATTTTGTGGTAATCAGTTAACTGAAGAAGGTGAAGAATGTGATTGTGGTTTCACCAGAGCTAATTGTCATGATAAATGCTGCCATCCAAGAGATTCAACTAGTCCATGCAAGCTGGTCAACAGTGTTTTTATAGATCATACCGAGCGTACTGTGAGTTTTATGTATATTCGCTTGTGTTTGTTTTAAACTGGACACTAGTTAATTTCAATAGAGAGTTTACTTTCATGTATTTAATTTTACTATTTTTTCTATGATTGTATTGGTCACTAAGTACGAGTTTTGCAGTACCTTTTTTTGAATAATTGCAAGCAGCTCTTACGTTGTAATTCTCAATATTCTGTGTTGTTATTATTTTAAATGATTTGATCTATATATAGATTATTGTGCTAATAGAATTCATCCAATGATTAGATAACTAGCTTTTTGATTGGAATAATTCTACATCTTTAGTTACAATCGTTTATTGAACTTCTAATTGTCAGTAATGATAGTTCTAGATATATTTTACTATTTTAATTGCATATCCTATTGATGACATCATTCAAATGACCTCTGAAGCATGTAGCTCACTAACTTAGTAAATTTTTATGTACTGGGTAGGTTATGAAACTACTCTGCGCCCCCTGAATGCCCTGGTACGGCCGAGAGTGGGGAGAGTCCGCTCTCCCTCTCGAAATACTCTCACACGGCCACGCGTATACAGCCTCTGCCAGGGAAGTCCTACTCATTGCCTTCTCGTGGCGGGGGTGTTGTTTACGAAAATGAGAGGACGAAAAGCGAGTGTCCGGCGCTTTAACCGGATTCTAAATCAATGGTGCACATGGGCTCCAGTATCCTGAAGGAACAAATGGCGTATGAACCAATCGTTGGTCACCGGCTACCATGGGACTGCATCTCCTTACGATGCTCCACTGCCTTGTGGGTTAGACCTTTAGGTCAAAGGCTCGGGGTGTGGCCCCCTAAGAAAATCACCTGCTTCGGTTTGGGCACCCGGGCAGTATCACAGCCCACACACAAACGATGAACTCTATGTCTTTGGCAACTACTTTTATCGCTCCGGAAAACAAAAACAGTCAGTCGATTCGAATAATTATCATTACTATTATTGTCATTATTAATTCTATTATTATTACTATTATTGTCGTTATTATTATTATTGTTATTATTATTATTTCCCACATTATTCACCCTCTTTCATACTTATACAGCGGCTCGGCTTTGGTGGAAATCCGACTGTATCTAAACGTTCTCGAGTCACTGTCCGGTTGAAAGTTGTATGTTACCATCGAATATGAGTACTGAAGCAGTTTTTCTGAAACCACGTGCGCCATTCAAACTGGCTGCCTTCAACGTTCGCACACTTATGCAGGTTGGTCAACAGATAGGGCTGGCTATGTCTTTGGAAAGTCTTAATATTGATGTTTGTTGTCTATCCGAGACCCGTATTCAAGACTAGCGAAGTATTACAAATTCGCTCTACATCTGTCATTTCAAAAAGCTTGTTTTACGTGCGCTTATCCGGGGACCCTGTGGCATCTTCGTCTGGTCTTGCAGGCGTTGGTGTCGCACTAAGCCCTAGAGCTGAGGCAGCACTAGTCGATTGGATCCCCATTAACAGTCGGTTATGTGCTGTTAGATTAGAAAGTTCCATCAAAGTGAGAAGAAATCGGCGTGAGAAACGATGTCTTTTCGTCATCTCCACCTATGCCCCGACAGATTGCAGCCCGGATGCAATCAAGGATTAGTTTTACCACCAGTTATCAGTTCTTCTCCAGAAAGTGCGTTCGACAGATATTGTAGTACTAGCCGGAGACTTGGATGCTCAGGTCGGGCGTCTAGGCACAGAAGAGAGTCGTTTAGGTGGCCGATGGGGACTCGTTGGTCGCAGGTCAGATAACGGGGACCGTCTACTGCAACTTTGCACAGACCACAACCTGTTTCTGGCTAGCACTAACTTTCGGCACAGTCATCGCCGATGTGCCACCTGGCGTCCTCCCTCTGCATCTCAAGCCTGGACTCAGATTGATCACATCGCGATCAGCTACCGCTGGCGTGGTTGTGTACAAGACTGCCGCTCCTTTTGGAGTACCTATCTGGACTCTGACCATGCCTTGGTCTGCGCCAATCTTGCCTTACTTTTCAGTGGACAACGAAGTGACCACCACCAAAAGATTGATGTTAGCAAGCTGGTTGTAACTTCTGTTGCAAGTAAGTATCGAACCGAGCTAGCCTCTAGGCTAGCTACCACTCCACCGAAAAGTATAGATGAGCATTGGTTGCAATTGCATGACGCCATGAAAATGGCGGGAACAGTCAGTTGTGGGTTTGCGAAACGTCCCGCTTTTAAGCACTGGGTTTCTCCAGGTTCCTTACAACTCATTGAAGCCCGTCGGTCTACTCCGGGTGACCGTGAGTTTGACCATAAACGAAGGATATTACGTAAGGAAATTGGACAAAGCTTGCGTAAGGACCGAGAAGCCTGGTGGTCGATGCGTGCTAATGAGCTGGAAGCAGCAGCTGCATCTGGTAACTACCGGAAGCTCTTCCAGCTCATTCGAGCCACTGGCAACAAGAAGTCTGGTGTGAGTGAAACAATCTGCGAGGATGATGGGATGCCAATCACTAACATCCATCGACGTCTTGGACGATGGGCAGAATTTTTCGAAGGGCAGTTCAACTGGCCTGCTGCTCCGGTAACATCGGTCAGACTGTCCTGCCCTCCATGGCCGGTGACGACTGATCCACGAAATGAGGAGGAAGTCCGCAAGGAACTCCAACTCTTGAAGCGTTACAAATCACCTGGCCCAGATGACTTACCTCCGGCTCTTTTCAAAGATGGTGGTGACTTTTTGACTAAGGAATTGACGACGTTGTTTACAAAGGTTTGGGAACTAGAGAGTGTGCCAACGTCATGGAATGAGTCGATAGTTGTCCCTATCTTTAAAAAGGGTTCACGTCGTTCCTGTAACAACTATCGGGGGATAAGTCTACTTCCGATTGCGTCCAAGCTATTGGCTTCCGTCATTCTTCGTAGGTTGTTCAAAACCCGAGAAAGATTGACTCACGAGGAGCAGGCTGGGTTTCGTTCTGGTCGAGGATGTATTGATCATATCTTCACCCTCCGCCAAATGTTAGAACACCGCCATACTTTTCAAAGGCCAACAATCGTAGTGTTTCTTGACATCAGGGCTGCCTTCGATTCGTTGGATAGGACTGTTCTCTGGGATTGTCTATTGAAGAAGGGTGTGCCTGAGAAGTTTATTAACATCCTGAAAGCCCTATATAAAAACACCTCAGGCAGAGTGAGGGCATACAACCACCTCTCTCCATTGTTCCATTCGAGCAGTGGGGTTAGGCAGGGTTGCCCAATCTCACCATTCCTCTTCAACTTTGCCATCGATGACATTCTGGAAACAGCTCTGATGAATGTAAGTAATGGTGGTGTGGATCTGTTGCCTGGAGAAAGACTTCTCAACCTTGAGTATGCGGACGATATTGTCTTACTGTGCGATAATGCCCAAGGCATGCAATCCGCACTTAATCAGTTGGCAATCAGTGTCCGTATGTATAGTATGTGCTTGTTATGGATAAGGTCCTAAATATCTGACTCCAAATAATGATATTCCGTAACTGAGTATTTAAGATAGGCTTAATCTCCTAGTAGAATTACGGGTTTACTCGAGATTATTAAGAAGCCTGAACACCAGTTATGGAGATAGTTTATTATTAATGAATAATGATAATCCACAAGCGTATTGTGAGCAAGCACACGATGGGAACAGAGAGAGTGAGTTTTGTTAAAAATCCATATATATTTTTGAGGGTTAATCAGGTGTGGATAGACTATCGATTATCTGCACGTTGAAACCAATAGGAAAATAGTTTAAAAGTTAATGTACAGACATGCATTCGATCATACACACCGAAATTAACATAGTGAATTACGAGTCTAAGTTACAATGAATAGACAGATGATACAGTGGCCAAATGGGCTTGCCACATAAGCTCCCATCCAGAACATTGATGTTTTTATGTACCAAAAAAAAATTGGATTAACATCTATGTTCGACAAAGAGATAAAGAACGGAACTGTTTTTAAAATAAAAGTACAACTCAATATGATGAGTAAGCGTAAAACTGTAATAACAGCTTGTGTGTTGAAACGTTTCATATCATGTATATACAAGTGTATATTTAACATTAATGAATTGTATAAAGTTAAAATGTAAGCATAATGATGATCCGTGGGGCCAATAAAAAAAATAGTAATCAAAATAAAATAGGATTTTTATGTGTTATAAGAGTAGTCTCAGGATTTGGTCTAGATAAATATGGTGGTTGCTACATACCTATCTGGCCAATGTACTCTCCTTCCTGATCTTGTTGTAGTTTGTGCTGCTGCTGAATTTCGATTTGAAGTGTTGCTTGTTGCAGGTAGTTTGAATGGTGCTTGCTCTGCTGCAGGTTTAGACGGTTTTACAGTTGTCTGTTTTTTCTCAAAAATATTTCGTCTCATACCGAAAGGTACAAAAGGGCGAGTTTTACCTGTTGAGTTATCACAAGTTAAGGTGTCCTTGTTGTTTATGGGGATGTTTTGGAATAATAATTCCGTTTCCTTAGATTGCAAAAGTTTTTGTAGCTCCGTATCGAGCTTTTGATGCTTTGCCATTTCTTGATAGTCTATATCAGGGATCGAGAAGGTATTGATATTTAATCTCGATAGTGCATCTGCTGCCTCGTTTGCATTGCCTTTAATATAGCGTATATCAGCTGCAAATTGTGAAATGAATTCTAGTTGACGAATTTCGCGCGGACTATATTTATCATGATTGTGCATCAAGGACTTAGTTAGGGGTTTGTGATCAGTATATATCGTGAAAGAATTGCCTTCTAACATGTAGCGAAAGTGTTTGATGGCTAAGTAGATAGCCAACAGTTCTCTACCGAATGTGCTATATTTCGTTTGCGTTGCGTTGAGCTTTTTTGAGAAAAATGCAAGGGGTTGCCATTGTTCATTGACACGTTGCTGAAGTACAGCACCTACTGCTACGTTAGAAGCGTCGGTCATTATTGCTAAAGGTGCATCAACCTTTCGTCGTGCGAGTAATGCCTCTGTGCTTAAAGCGCTTTTCAACTGATCAAATGCTTGAATTGCTTGCGGTGTCATTGCTAATGATTTAGCTCGTCCCCTTAATAAATCAGTTAGTGGTTTTGCTAAGTCTGCACATTTAGGGATAAAACGTCTGTAAAAGTTGATCATCCCAAGGAAACGTCGTAGTTTCTTGAATGAATCAGGCAAAGGATAATTTTTGATAGCTTGTGTTTCCTCAGGAACTGGTTTAATGCCTTGCTTATCAAGTACGTGACCTAAAAAGGTGAGGGATTGTTTTCCGAACTCACATTTGTCAGGATTGACCGCTAACCCATACTCGTTTAGCTTCTCAAAAAGCATTTTCAGATGAGTTAGATGTTCATTTTCATCTTTGCTTGCTATAAGTAGGTCATCTATGTAAGCATACACAAACGGTAAGCCCCGTACCACTTGGTCAATAAAACGCTGGAAACTTTGTGCAGCATTCCTTAATCCGAAAGGCATGCGGACGAATTCGTATAGTCCAAAGGGGGTAGTAATGGCTGTTTTAGGAACATCGTCTGGATGAATTGGAATGTGATGGTAAGCACGGACGAGATCAATTTTTGAAAAGATCGACACGTCAGATAGGCTATGAGTGAAGTCATGTAGATGTGGGAGAGGATATCTATCTGGTATGGTCCGGCTGTTGAGAGCTCTATAGTCACCGCATGGTCTAACTTCGGAAGAGTTTTTCTTAGGTACCATATGAAGCGGTGATGCCCACGGACTATCGGAGGGGCGTATGATGCCCAACTCAATCATTTTGTTGAATTCGTTCTTTGCGATAGCCAGACGAGAGGGATCAAGGCGTCTTGGACGTGCGAACACAGGTGGACCCTCTGTCTTTATGTGGTGTACGACGGTATGCGTCGGTTTGTCGTGTTTGAAACTCGGTCGTAATAAATCTGGAAACTGATTAAGTAAATTGACGTATTTGTCGTTCTCATGATGAGGTTTAACTAATAAATGTATGGAAGTCTCATTTGATATAATTCCTCTAATTTCCTTACTCTGTTCGGCAAGGACAAGTTTCCTATTTCTGACATCTACCAGTATTTTGTGGGATTGCAGAAAATCAATGCCGATTATAGGAACGAGGACGTCCGCTATGATGAAACTCCAGGAAAAATTAGATTTAGGACCGAAATTTAATTGCAACCGCCTTTTTCCGTACGTCTTGATGTCAGACCTGTTTGCAGCTTGTAGTTTTAGTTTGGGGTCAGGTGTGTTTTTCTCGAGTGCAGTAGGTGGTACTACACTAACCTCTGCCCCAGTGTCGACTAAAAACTGTGTGCCGGTTCTTTTGTCTGTAACATATAATAGACGACTGTCTTGAAAGTTGTGGTCAGTGAGTGCAGTCGTCATTAACCTGCGGTCTTGACGTTCCTTTTTCTGTGTGCTTGCAAAGTTACAAGGCGGAGTACATTTTTTAGCTTGTTTGCCATATGTTCTATGGTACCAGCAAATGTTGTGTCTAGTAGTGCTTGGACTACGTCGTCTACGGCTTGTGGATGTTCCTCTACGCTTGCTGTGGGAGGCATTCAATAATTGGATCTGAGCTATCTGTTTCGTAAGGATATCAACTGATCGTCGTAACTCGGCGATCTCGTCAGCTGAGCTTGATTGGATTTGAGATACAAGGTGAGTCTTGGACCGTTCGTAAATTCTGTCGGCTATGTCTGCTAGTCTATCAAAATCAACGTCTTCGTCTCCAATTGCTAGTATCTGTTGAATGTTTTGAGGGAGACGTCTGAGCCACAATTGATATAGTAGACGTTTGTCTACTGTACGATTTCCTAATAAGTTTGTCATGTGGCGTTTTAACTGTGACGGTGTATTGTCACCTAGCTCTACGTTGGCTAAAAGTTGATCAATTGTCTGTTGGTCGGTGAGAGATGTGACACGAATGACCTCTCTTTTTAGACAATCGAATGGTGAGTCAGGATCCGGCTTAAAAATGACATCCGGCACTTGTTCAATGACGTCATCTGGCAGCAGTGAATTCGCATAACTAAATTTCGTACTCTGGTTTGTGATTTTGTTTGCAACAAAAAAGCTTTCCAAACGAGCAAACCAGAGTTCAGCCTTTCGTGGATTAAAAATGGGTAAAGGTACAGAGATGGCACCCACGGAAATAGATTTAGATGAAAGGCTTAACGAATTATCAAGTGCCATGATACGAAAAAGCAATAGTAATAATAAGCTGAGGATTGTAATATACAATATGAAGAGAAATCAAAAATAACAACAAAAAAATATATATAAGACTCACCGAAAAGAAAAATTGTCACTTTGGGTATATGTATGAGAATATACAGTAATAATTCCAAAGGGAAAATATTATGAGTGAATTTATTATGACTGTCAATGGATTGTTATTAATTATAATAATAATTCCAATATGAAGTTCTTTATGATACTCTTGAGGAGAATGCAGCAGACTTTGGAGGAAAATGGTGCGCGTTCTAAAGGCGGGTCACCAATATGTTAAGGATAAGGTCCTAAATATCTGACTCCAAATAATGATATTCCGTAACTGAGTATTTAAGATAGGCTTAATCTCCTAGTAGAATTACGGGTTTACTCGAGATTATTAAGAAGCCTGAACACCAGTTATGGAGATAGTTTATTATTAATGAATAATGATAATCCACAAGCGTATTGTGAGCAAGCACACGATGGGAACAGAGAGAGTGAGTTTTGTTAAAAATCCATATATATTTTTGAGGGTTAATCAGGTGTGGATAGACTATCGATTATCTGCACGTTGAAACCAATAGGAAAATAGTTTAAAAGTTAATGTACAGACATGCATTCGATCATACACACCGAAATTAACATAGTGAATTACGAGTCTAAGTTACAATGAATAGACAGATGATACAGTGGCCAAATGGGCTTGCCACATGCTTTGCACCTTCGAAGTGCAAGGTACTTCTACAAGACTGGCAGGATTCTAATCCTGTACTCACCCTGGATGGTGAGCAGATAGAAGTAGTTGAGAAGTTCGTGTATCTGGGTAGCTGCATAAGTGCTGGTGGAGGTGTGAGTGATGAGATCAATGCACGAATAGTGAGAGCCAGAGCGGCTTATGCCAATCTGGGCCACCTTTGGCGCCTTCGTGATGTTAGTCTGGCTGTAAAAGGTCGGATCTACAACGCGTCGGTGAGAGCAGTTTTGCTCTATGCTTGTGAAACCTGGTCTCTCCGAGTTGAGGACGTTAGACGACTCTCTGTGTTCGATCATCGCTGTCTCTGAAGGATTGCTGACATCCAATGGCAACATCATGTCAGTAATGCAGAGGTTCGGGATCGTGTGTTCGGACACAGAGATGATAATTCAATTGGTGTCACCATCTTGAAACACCGACTTCGGTGGCTTGGACATGTTCTCCGAATGTCGTCCCAGAGAATTCCACGTCGTGCATTATTTGCCGACTCTGTGACTGGTTGGAAGAAGCGGAGAGGTGGTCAGTGGATGACATGGTGTCGTGGTATGAAAGAAAGCTGCAAAGGACTGGCTTCTGTTGGTCCTTCACGACTCCCTGGTTGGGGTCTGAGAGATGGTGCTACACAGTGGTTAGAGACGTTATCAGATATGGCTCAGAATAGAAGCCAGTGGCGATCCTGCTGTAACCTTCTTTTACTTTCTTCATAAAAAGTGATTGTGTCTCCTTTGCCTGAAAGATTTCTCCTGATTGTACCTTTTCGTTCCGTCGTTACTACCACACTACCTTACTCCAATCTCTTCGTCATTGTTCTCTTTTTCTTTTGCGCTCCTTAGTTCTTTTTTCTACTTCTCTTCGAATTCTCATTGTTTTGTGTGGCGCATATATATTGGCGCTCTCTTGTACCAATATTCATGTGTTCAAATAAATAAATACTGCGCATAGAGAGTAACAGAAAGCAAACTTGTAAGAATTATACACATATTTCATCGGAGTGTTAAACGCAACCACCATTAGGGCACGACTTCAATTATTTCGCATAATTGAGGTGACAACATTATGAAGAAGAAGAGGGGAGGGGCCACACAATCTGTAGATGAAAAAGGACATTTGAAAAAATAGTATGATCCAGCAAACCTTCTTCCAGTGTGTTCTTATGTGTGTCGATTTACTCAGCATAAAATTAGTTTATTTTATTTTCAGATCATCTTCATTGTAGTAATTAATCCACTATATTCAGGTGATGATCACCCAGTTGATAAATGTTGTAGTTAATACTAATTGAATATGTTATAACAATAACTTGAATGTAATTCAATTCTCTCAGGGTTTTTCTTGTGCATCGTGCTTACAAAGCTTGTCTTTTTCAATTGTACGGGGAATTACCGTTGAAGTATTGTGTATTAGTTATTTCAAAGGTTATTCACTCAGTTATAATCAACGCAGAATCTGGCACTTATGTGTATTGGTTCAGATGCCCAAACCATGTGAGCACTGCAAGATAAAATTATCAAGAAAAATGCCAGAGTAGTAGAAACGGTAATAGTATCAATAGTAGTAGAAAGCATTAAGTATGAATAGTAGGATTCAAGAAGATTCAGTGAGTTTGGAGAATAAAAGGTATAAGACAATTTTAAAACTCCAGTATTCTAATGTAAGCCCGAAATTTAGGGTCTTTAGTAAGAAAACCATAGAGATTGTTTGCCATTGGGAATCCGGTGACAATATTTAGTAATAAACGAACATAACCCACGTCTGCCACCTTCGCCGATTTCTGCCAGTAGAACACCATCAATCATATCCAACTTTTACATCTTCATTCAAATGGGTAAGTTAAAGATTTTGTTTGTATGTTCAAAAACGTTCCAAAGGGGAGGTGATCACCAAAGAGGTTCCTGTTTATCTACCATACTACATCGAACTCGCAACTACCAAATAGCGCTTCTTCAGCAAAAGCTCTGTGTGGTAGAAAATTGCGTACACGTTTTGACTCTATCCTTCCAGTGACTGCTGACGATTCCCAACGAAACTGATTTATATCGAGATAGTTCAAGCAATACTATGGAAGGACTCTGTATAGATTATCCTGGCAAACACCCTAGATAGACAGTTAGTCGAATTTCTCAAAGAAGACATAGTTTGATCTACAGATTCTCAGTTGATTTTTCAATTTGTTTACAACATGGTAATTAATTGAAAGTAACTTTTATCCTCATTAATGAAACCATCATAGAATACCACTCGATATTCTGTAAAATTTACAATGCCGTCTAATCAGTATATACTCATCATTAGGATCCCTATCCGAATTTATGGTCTTTCTGGGTAAAGTAATTGGCAAGATAAAAAGTACTAACATCCAATCTGATGTATCGTAACTGTAGGTTAAAAAAGTCAGTTTGGTGAGAATATGAAGACTGTTTAGTATCAGAATTAAGACAGTCACAGTAGACTCGTCCAGTGAAAATCTCGAACTTCAGGTGTTAAAACTTTTATATTAGTTTTATTCTGTTACAGTTGTACTCAAACTTCAATCTTTATGTTAACGGTTGTGTCTCCCTTAACTGAAAGATGTCTTCTGGTTGTACCTTTCCGTTCCCTCATTATTACTATTATTACTACTACACTACCTTACACCAATCTCTCCGTTATTGTTCTCTTTTTTTCACGCTCCTTACCTTTTTTTTTCTTTTCTCTTCGAATTCTCATTGTTTTGTGTGGCGCATATATATTGGCGCTCTCTTGTACCAATATTTATGTGTTCAAATAAAATAAAATAAAATTTATGTTAATGAACTTTTATTCAGGTTCAATGCTCACCTACAGCTGGCGTTTGTTGCACCGAAAATTGTCAATATCGCCCAGAAACTCATATGTGTCGTCCAGCCGGTGAATGCCATCGATCATCGAATTGCAGTGGAAGAATGTCTAAGTGTCCACCTGCTGATATTTTACCAGATGGTACTCTTTGTCAGGTAAGTATGCTTTTAAGTCTGTTATACTGACCAAGTTTCTACCTTGTCTTTTCATTCTATTGATATGTGTATACTATACTATACATTCGGTCGCAAATAATTTTTCATCTAATTTGAATTATGCTGTACACCAAACCCTTTTATGATGACTGTATAATTTACTGTGGTGTTTGGAAGTGTAGAAATCATCTAACTTCAAAAACACTAGTTAAGCTTATTGAACGAAATTCAGTAAACTGTTTATCAGAGGTATGAGCTTGAGTGCTATCATGAGTTTATGAGCCATTGGCACTTCCTAGTTGCTCACATCATGAAAAGATAATTCTTTTTGAGGTGCTTGATAAAGAATCCGGTTTAGTGGTGGTCTTAACAAACCAAGAGAGTAACAATAAAACCTGAAAGACAAATGCTTGAGGGTTGACGTCATTCACAACTTTTCATGATTAGTTTTTAATGTGTTAGCTCTTTATTTTCTATGCCTTACTGCCAATACTGGAGAAATATTACTGATGGTCTAGGTTATCCGTGGGAAGCGTTTTAATACCACTTCACCCTATTACATTTGGTAGTAGAATTTCACCCTCAGACTTACGATTTACGGTTTTCAGTCTTATCTCTGTCCGATAGACCAACCTATCATTGTAGAACCTCGAAGAATAAGTGTTTCAGCTAATGCATCTTGATTAGGTCGTGGTAGCAGTTACAGTCTGAATAAACTATTTATAGTTCGCCTTCAATATTATTTCTGTAAAAATGCTTACTGGGTTTACCATTTAAACAGTCATTTCTTTTCTTTAAAAGAGTCATTGGTTTATTACAAATTTGAACAAGTCATGTAACGGTTGAACTCTTTTTATTTTTAACTCATTCTAAATTTACGTTTTTACTGCCACTATTTGCCGTATCAAATCATATTTGTTTTTAGGATGGTACACGTGTTTGCAAACAGGGTCAATGTATTGGTTCAATATGTGAGCGTATTCCTGGTTGGCATGAATGTTCTTTTACTCGAGATAAAAAGGTCGTACCTGAATTAATGTGTTTCGTCGGATGTAAGCAGAATATTTCTGGTGCACCGTGTATTAGTTCTTTTCAGTTAGAAAAAGTAAGTTTTCCTCACCCTTTCGCTTGGATTCATAATATGAGTAATAATGGTGCAGTCTTATTGGATTTGATTCTAGACTTTCCTATACAATCCAACATTTTCATCCATTTATTTTACTCAATCTTTGGTTTATTTTTGTTTTCAATACTCATAAAGCCATGCTAAACTATGTAGAAATCTTGAATATTGATGTTACTAATGTTTTTGAAATAATCTTTAAAATCATCCGACTATTGCTTTATTCTGTCCTTTGGTTTTTTGAGTTTCTATTTCTAATTATGTCTGTTACATTCAATAAGTCAATTTTAACGTATTCATCGGTTTTATTTTTGCTTAAAGAAAATCCTAAATTTTCATGTTATCAATAATTAAAGTTGATGAAATTAATTCATTTAAATTAACTTGTATATAGATTATTTTCTCTTGTTTCCTACTCGACAGAGGTCTACCAGTAATACCTAACACTAATCAGAATTATAGTACTAAGTGTTTGTAAGATAATCCACTTGATATTACACTTATTTGTACTGCATTCATGCATAATCGTAGCCAGTCGTTAAGATACATGGCTCAAAATTGGCTGCAGTTGTATGTACTCTTTCTTTTTCTTTAAACTTTAAGTTAATAGTCATCAAATTATTTGTAATCTTTATTATATAATAAGTGATATTACTTTGGTTGGATTTTTTGTATATAACGCGACTAGTTTCCAACTTTTATTTAGTCAGTCGAATGGTGATTCCATCTCATTACGCTACCACTTTTTCATTACAAAATTATATCAGTCAATTAAACTATATTTCTCATAATTTCACATCATAGACTGACCTTAAGTTTAGACAAATATTGATAGTCACGAAGCAGCTGTTTCTTGATTTTCAATGTTGTCTAACTAAAGGTCAGTATGTGATGTAAAACTATGAAAATCCAACGATTTCCACAATCCTTACTATACTTGCTGTTTCTTTTGTAGATATAGTTTTCCATAAACATAAATATTATTGTTTCAGCTTCCTTTTCACTGTACTAACTATTTTTATTGTGAAAGTTTTACTTACATTGTTTTATCAAACGAACTACAACTTTACTTGTGTTGTTTCACCATTTTCAGTGCTTATTACTTTTCTGTAGTGTTATCTATCCTGTTTATGTTTATAGTGTATGGAAACGAGATAATGTAAAGTTGTATGTTATATT